GGGACGGTCGCCGGCGCCCCCCTCGCCCCCCAGATCCGCCCTCCCTGGGGGCCGAGAAAGAACCCCACCGAGCCAGGAGAGTGGTCAAAGCCGGAACTCCGTTTATTAGAAAGGTGTTGGAGTTTATATAGAGGAAGAAAGCGGAAACAGAGAGGAGAGGCGGGAGGAGATGGTTATCCAATCAGGGGAAGCCACAAGTTATGAAGAGGGGTGATGACAGGGCGGGCAAAAACTGCTTAGTCACTGGGCCCCGGAAAAGAAGGACTTCTAGCTACGTGCATTAAAGCGCTCGTGAAACGGCGGCGGAGGCCTTACGCCAGCAAGATGGCCACCACTTGATCTATTTTAGGGAACAGGAACCATACTTAGGCAGGCGCCTTATGATTTGATTGCGCCGCAACATGGCCCAACACAAAATGTTTCACTTGAGCTTTTCAACTGGATTTTGAGACACCTACCATAGAAATAGAATAGCTTAGGAATAAAGAAGCTCAAACACTGGTACGGGCGTGACACTGAGGGTTGCGATCCATTGCTGGACACCAAAAAAGACAAAAAAAAAAGAAGCTCAAACACGCATTTAGCACTTTGTTTTCCAATTGACTTTGGACAACTTACCCTTTAGTCTCCACTTTCCTCAGCCGTAGAACATAGTAGGATTGCTGAGAAGATTAAATGAGATACAGCATAAATAGAATTTAATCCAATTTGTAGCATATATTAGGTTGAACTGTATGAAACTGTTGATCAAAAAATGCTGAATACTGGCAATTTTTTACAGCTCACCCTAAAAAGTACAGTACTGTCATTGTTACTATTATAAGAATTATGTTGACAAGATATTATGAGAATCAGAGACTATAGATAATATACAGTTAGCGTAATGCCCAGAAGAGTAGATCTTCAGTTAATATTTGTTTCTTACCATATCTTATCTCAAGTTTTAGGTTTTTCTAATAAGGTGTTTATTTTAAGTCATGTCTATACTTTAAATTTCACAATAAGGCACAATTCTCAGAGCCTACTGAAGACTAACATTTGAATCAACATATCTGCACAAAAAAATAATTAAATTTGGTAGTGTTGAATATACTAATTATCCTGATTTGAGCATCACATATTGCACACAAGTATTATTCAACTCTGTACCACACATATATGTGTACTCAACTATGTTTCAAATAAATAAATAAATAAAAATAACCTTGAAATTTGGGGATGTAGCCAGGGCTCATATTAAAAATGGACCAATACCTTAAATTCTTCTAGACTTAAGAAGATAGTTTTCCTAAAGCACTGCTTTCATCCATACTCACATTTTCAAGAATGTGTGATCCCTACATTAAACCAAATTTAAAGTTACTCTATAATCTGGTTCACTGAATCTTACTCCCCAGTCCCAACTCAACTTGTCAGGTTGGTTCTCTCACTGCCTCCTGAACTTTTATTCCTAAATCAAATCTATACTTCAACTTCAACTGCTCTTGGTCACTTACTCATCTTCATTTCTTTAAGTCTCCTTATGTTAAATCTCATCTCTTCCATTTCTTGATAATTAGAATTTATAGTGATCGCTACCATCTCCTCCATGATTGCACTTACTCATTCTGACAAACTTTGAGGACAATTACAGGATGGCTTATTGTTACATAAGCCTTGTGAGTTTAATAATAGTGAAAGTATTTTTGAGGCATGAATCACATTTCTTCTTTTTATCCCTTTTAAATTTTTATTATTGACTGATTATGTTTTAATCTTAGAGTGGGAAGTGTGTGTTCATATTCTTTTGAAAAAGTAGTTTAATTGAGTTTATTTGAGCTGTATTAGTGACAACTTTTAAGAAATAGTAGATATACGCCCATCCTCCCTCACAAAACAAACAAAAAGATGCCTGTTTTCAAATTAGCATGTGTACCATTAATTAATATTTATTATAATTAAAACACAATATTCGTGTACCAGGCCTACATTTATTACTATAATTCAATGCCAAAATGAACTCATGTAATGGTAAAAAAACGGGTCATTTAGTATTTTTCCATAAGTAAACCGGGTAGATAATTCATTATTTAACACTTATTTTAAGCTGGTTGAGTATACCTAAGCTTAGAATGGTTTACCCCCTCATTCAGTTTTCTTTAAATTTTCTTATTGATTTAATAGCCCCATCTGTCACTCCCTGTCCTGTAAGTCTGGGGTAATTTTCTCAGGACTTGTGCATTTATTTTGTAAACTTGACAGTTCATTCTTTTCATGCATTTTCTTAAGGTCACATTGATCATTTAGGTTTTAGTTATTAATATATTTTTAATATGATTGAAATGAGAAAAAAATGTGTTTTTTTCTTTAACCTGACTTCCTTTTTGAAATCCAGCCAGCCATCTGTCTTTTATAAAACATCACCTTCATAAAGCCTTTTATGATCAAAAATAACATTCATAAAAAGCTTTGCAAAATGAAAGTTCTGTGCCACGACAAAAATAGGACAGGCATAAACGGTGAGGGACTTTACCTCAGATGTCATATTCCTTCTCCATTTGAGAAAATGTTTTTGTCTCTGTCTGTATCGCTGTAATTGTAATTCCCTAAAGTAAGAGCTAAGTTTTCTTGATATCTGCAATAGTGTCAAAATAGGGTTGGATTAAACAAAATAATAACAGTACTCAGTCCCAATCAATGACCCACTGAAAGTAAATTACACAAAACCCATTTTAACTGCATGGTTTTGTAGAAAATGACTTTGTATAATAGTCAGTATAATAGTGACAGTTACCATTTACTGAAAATTTAATATGCTGGAC